CCGTTTTTAGCGAAATAGTCATGATAAATTGAGTTTAAATTTGTTGTTATTTTTTAAAAATCCTTCTATACAAAGAGTTTTATCATCTATTTAAACCTATTTTGGCTTTTTTTAACCTAAACTGGGCTGTCAACTTTTATATTTATGGCCTATTGGATAAGTTATGAATGACAATTTGGCTCTGATGTTATTTATATTTTAACGAATTTAGATAATTATAAAAATTTAAAAAAATTTGTAATATATTTATCTATTAACTATTTATTTTTAATTTTAAATAAAACAAATATTTAAATTTTAATACTACAATTTAGCGAATAAAAATAAAATTCTTTAAAATAATATCTTTAAAATAAATATAAAATTTATTTCTTAATTTTATTTTTCACCAATTAGGTAAATTATCTTTTTTGATATATTTAATTCCAATAATAAAATCTTCTTCTAAAGGTGCAGATAATATATTTTTTATTTCATTTAAATAATTATTTTTTAAATTTTCTTTAACTTCTTTTAATTCTTTATCTAATTTTTCACTATTTATTTCCAACATATTTAACTCTTTATTCCCACAATAAAAATATTTATTTATTTCCAAAATTCAAAAGCGACTGAAAAATAATCAAAATTTGACGGTTTAAAAAGAGTGAAATTTGCGTGGGAAATATATATTAATCATAAAAAATATATTTTATTTATTTTATTCTCCGCCCAAAAAATTCTTTTCAATTTCTTTCCAAAATTTCATTCTGTTGGAAACACTCCCGGCCACCAATTAGTGTCGTCTCGGAGCATCCAATGCCAAAAGAATGAATTGTTTCATTTGCCACGCTTCAGACCACTTTGCCAAATATTGTCCCGTTAAACAACCCTGCAGTAGCAACACATTAATGCAGCGGACGACCAGCACAACCACCAACACATACACCCAAGACACACAAACAGCAATGCGCAGCGTCGCATCACAATTGACAAGAATGAGCCAACAGTGGACACATATCCCCACGATCTCAGCATTTTTACTACAAATGGCACAATTCATTCTTTTGGCATTGGATGCTCCGAGACGACACTAATTGGTGGCCGGGAGTGTTTCCAACAGAATGAAATTTTGGAAAGAAATTGAAAAGAATTTTTTGGGCGGAGAATAAAATAAATAAAATATATTTTTTATGATTAATATATATTTCCCACGCAAATTTCACTCTTTTTAAACCGTCAAATTTTGATTATTTTTCAGTCGCTTTTGAATTTTGGAAATAAATAAATATTTTTATTGTGGGAATAAAGAGTTAAATATTTTATTAAAGTAAGGGGCTTTAGAGATTTTTTACCCTATAAGGAAGGAAGAATAATTAAAAATATATAAAATTATTTTTCATATCACCAATTAGGTAAATTATCTTTTTTGATATATTTAATTCCAATAATAAAATCTTCTTCTAAAGGTGCAGATAATATATTTTTTATTTCATTTAAATAATTATTTTTTAAATTTTCTTTAACTTCTTTTAATTCTTTATCTAATTTTTCACTATTTATTTCCAACATATTTTTTAATTTAATTCCAATTAACCAACTTGTACATATCCAACCCTAAAAAATAAATATTTATTTAATTTAAATTCCAAAAATACTTTTAATTTTTTCCCATCTCTTTCGGGCATTCTTTATAATTTAATAATTTTAAAGGTTTAACATGACAGTAGTCTATTTCATCTACTTTTTCAATATTTTCCATTAATTCTGTACGCAATTGTGTTTCAACAAATTCACAAAATTTATATCCATGCAGAGAAGAAGGTAAATAAGAGCAATTAATTAGTAGAAATTGTTCATACTTAAAGTTGAAATTTAGATTATAAATTAAAGTAAAAAATAAAATAATTAATTGAAATATTCTAGAGATAAATATTTATTAAATTAGTTTTTTAATAAATGATAATTAGACATATTTTTATATTCAATTTTTTTATAATAAATAACGTTTATAGAATGAATTAACACAATAATTGATAATAAATACTTTCATAGTATAAATTAGAGTTGGAAAAGACGAGAATCAAATCGGATCCAGGGGCGGTATTCATAGAACGAGGTAGCGGATTAACCAACCCTCAGCTGCGGGTAAGTTAACCCAAAACCCTTATTCATAAATGAGGGTAGGGGCTCTAAGCTCTACCATTAAAATTTCAGAAAAATTTAAAAATTTTTTTAAATTTAAAATTTCATTTTAGACTTACCAGGTACCCTTACCTCGTTCTCTGAATACGGTCTCAGCTCAAAATGATGGTATCGGTCTCGGTATCGGGTTCTTGAGTACTGGTCAATCTCGGTCTCTGGTTGGCCGATACCAGTATCGTTTTTTCCAACTCTAGTATAAATCAGCCATGAATGTTTCTGTGCTTAGTAAATTTGCTAATTTTGTTATACCTATGTAGATAAGCAGTGCTGGGTATTTGCCATTTGTTGGCTCCGGCTCCGGGGTTTCAAAATCCTAGCTCCGGCTCCGGAGCTAGCTCCCGGTAAATGTTTATAAATTAATTTTTTATTAAAATAAATTTCCTAAATTTTTAATAAATTATTTTAATTTTTTGCTAACCAAAGAAGAAAATAATTTTTCATTCCCTAACCAATCCAACCATTTTTTATTTAGAATTTCTTCATCACAACCTTCCAAAATTTCCTTCTTTAAACTTTTTAATTTATCAAACCCTCAAAGAAATAAAAGTTATTTTTAAATTTTCAAAAAAGAAAACCTAATTTATTAATTAATTTAATTATTTTTGCTGTCGATTTATTTATTTTAATAAAAGAATTATATTTTGGAAATCCCAAAGTCAATATTGTCCATCCTGGATTCTCATTTTTTTCATTTAAAGATTCAATTTGTCTAAATTCTTTTTCTTTTTCAAAATCCCAAATAATTTCATTTTTCTCTTCTTCCAAAATTTTTATTAAAAATTCTTCTTCAAAAATTTTATGAAATTCTTCCAAAATTTTTCTAAATGACATATTCTGATTTTTATTAATTAAATTAAATGTCAAAACAATTAAAGCATTATTATTTAAAAATCCAAAATTATTTCCAAAAATAGAATTTTCTAAAAATATTTTTTTGTTTAATAAAATTATTTTTAATTTAAAATTACTTTTACACCATAATCGAAGTATAACAAATAATATTTTATAACGTTCTTTCGAAACATTATTAGAAACATTAAATAATTGCATCATTTTTTGATTTGAACGATAATCTAAATAAAAATTTTTGTTTAAATTTTGAATTTAGAATAATTATAATATATTAACTATTTTTTTACTTTCTACCCATCTTGTAATTTTTTAATAAAAATTAAAAATTAATTAAGATTAATTCTATTTAATCATGCCTATTTTCTGAAACGGTTTTGGATACTTTCTAAAATATTTTACAATAATTACCATGAATAAATAACTGCTATTTTTTGATTTTAAAACTTATTAATTAATTTTAACATATTTTAAATAAATATTTCTCTAAAAGATTGTAAATATTAACTAAATAAATTATTTTTAAATTGGAAACAAACCAGATAAATTAAAAATAAAATTGTTAGTCACAAAATCTTTCGGATTTAAAACATTCAAAGATTTTTCTAAAAATATTTGAATAGCTCTATCAATAAAAGAAAATCTTTTTGTTTTTTCAAAACTCTCAATTAATTTATTTACATCGTTTGGAATTAAAGCAAATTTAATATTTATATTTAAATTATTTAAATTAAATTTAATTAAAGGACGTCCAATAAATGTTTTGTATAAATTTTTAATTAAAATATTCTTTAAAAAATTAAAAATATTATTTTAATTAATTAATTAAAAATACTTGGCATAAAAAGCAATAAAAAGAAGAATCTAAACATTTATTTCTTCCATTTTCATTACACAAATAATTTCCAAAAAAATTATCTATTAAATTCATTTCATCATTTTCTTCAGTAACCAACAAAAAAATTCCTTCAATTTTAGAATAATCTTTAATTATTTTAATATTAACAATATTTGTAATTAATAAACGAGATATTTGTTTATTATCTTCATTCTAAATAAAAATGAAAATAATTTTTAAATTATTAAATTATTTTGAAAGGCTTGAACTGAAAAAATTAGATGTCAAAGGGAATAAAGTATAGGAATATTTAACATATGACATTAATTAATAAAAAAAATCCTTATCTAAAATGCTTTCCATTTTTTAAATTATTTATTCCTAAAGTATTGTTTCTGATTTAAGTTAACAATTTTTTAATTAATTAATTTACCCATTTATCAAGCTTTAATTTGTTTGTCAATTTATAATCTAAAGTCTCTTCTTCTTCATTTCCAAAAAATAATTTATTAATAAATTCATTTTTCATAAATTATTATTTTTGATTATTTCTTCCTCAACTATTCTTTGCAGCTAAACAAAATAATTAAAAAATGAAAAAAAAATTAAAAACCAAATTTTCTGCTTTCTCTTCATTTTCTAATTTATTTTTATTTTCAACTAATAAATCTTCAATTTCTGCATTTACTTGAGTATTTTCTTTAATTAATTCATTATTCTCTATATCCTCAAATATCGAAATTTTTTCAAAATTTTCTTTTTCTTCTTCATCAATTTCTAAACTTTCCAAAATTTTAATAATTTTATTTACACAATCAGTTGATCCAAATAAATCTTTTAAATGTTCTTTTGCTCTTTCATTTTTAAGTACTTAAATATTAAATATTTATTTTTCACACAACATAGACATATTTTAAAATTGATAAATTATGGAAAATAAATCTCATCAGGTTCTCTTATATTCTGGGACGTCTAATCAAAATTAAGTGAATAACAGAAATAAGACTCGGGGATCAGATGTGATGATTATCTGTTGATACCTTTATGTATACCTTTATATATAAATAGTGTTTTCTTGGCATTTTGGCCCTCTGAAAATCGTAAAATTTACATTTTTGGTAAAATCTGTTTATGGAATATCTAGACCCCAAAAATTTTCGAATTGATATCGGTTATCCAAATATTTTCCAAAAACACTTTTATTATTTTTAATTCTATAATTAATACCTTCTAAATAACCTTTTCCAAAATCTTTTTCTAAAATTAAATTTTTAAATTCATTAAACATCAAATCATTTAACCATTCATTAAATTTTATAAAACTTTTTTCTTCATTATCTTTATCATCAATCCATTCAATTATTTTTTTATTTTTAATTAAAAAATATATTTTATTTACTTCCTCTTTTAAATAAATTAATATTTCTTCTTCTTTTTCTAATTCTTCAACCTCCATTTCAAATAAGGAATCGTATTTACTAGAAATTTTAGGCCTAATTTCTCCCCAAATTCCTTCCAATTTATTTACTAAATTCTTTTCAGACTCTTTTTCTTCTTTTAAATTTTTAATTTCATTATTTATATTTTTTCCACAAATAAAATATTTAATTCCCAAAATATTTTGAAGAAAAATATTTTTATTTTCCCCAAAAATAATTGAATAAAAATGTTCATTTAATTCAAAATTATTATTAAAAATATTATTTTTAATAAAATATTTTAATTTAAAATTTGGAATTAATTCTTCCAAACGAGTTTTAATTCCCGGAATTTTTAATAAAATAATTTTATTATTTTCAAAAAAATTTTTGTGTTCATTTTGTAAAAGTACACGTTGTTCCAAAAATGTTTTCTTTTGTTCTTCTTTATCTTCACATTCTTTCCCCTCCCAATTCAATAAATCTTCAAAAATAATTTTTTCTTTGAATTCTCTTTTTGTTTTTATTTTCTTTATTTCTTTAATTATTTGTTCAAAATATGATGTTTTTAAATTATATTTATTTATTCTTTGAATTATTATCCACATATTTTTTATTAAAAGACAAATACTTTTCAACATAGCATCACTATTTGACTCCAAAGATTCAAGAAAATAATTTTCAAAACTCATTGCATTTGATCCAATACACCCTAAAATCATTCTTTTCATTTCACCAATATTTTGTCCAGAATTTCTAAATAAATCTACTGATTGTGTTTCTAGTTGTTTTGATCGACTGAACAAAAATGAAAGAGAAATACGCAATTCGGCATCTATTGCTTTTTCTGATCCTTTTCTATTTAGTAAAAATTGTTGATAAAGACTAAATTGCATTTCTGGTAGCAAAATATCTTTAAAAATTATTTTATATAAATAATAAAACAATTTTAATTATTTTTAACATTATAGTTTATCATTTCTTGTTTAACTATAAAGTTAAAACTTGTTTTTTAATATCACTTTTTTGAGTCTAAAAATCGTAGGTACACTAAACTTAGTTATCTCTCTCATTCAGTAGCCAACCATCTTTAATATTTTTGGATCTCTGTATGTTATATTAATAATATAATTTAATATTTTAATTAAAGATTGAGACAGGAAGGTAATTTTTTAATCAAATCTGACAGTAAAATATTGTTTTTTAGTTTATAATTGTAAAGCATATAGCTATTAATTTCCTAAGGCTGAGCAGTAGGCGGCGTGGTGTAATGGCTAACACATCAGTCAGGTCTACTGAAGATGCTGGTTCGCTCCCAGCCGCCGATTAACCTTTTGCACTAGCTAAAGGAGAGAAATAGCTATAGCCCAGCTGCTTTACTTGATTTGTATTAGAATAATTTTTGATAAAGATTGAGACAGAAAATATTCTCATATTTTATTTAAAATTAAATTTCCCTTTATGACAATATTTTTTTTAATTTAAATTTTCGATCTAAACTAACTAATATATAAAGTATATGGCTGAACAATTTCAAGCTTTTGTAATAACTCCTCGCCCATTAATCGTAAAAGCGCTTCCTTCAATTTTATAACATTTTCAAGATTAAAGGTGCAAAGTAATTTATTCACATTTAATGAATAGCCAATTATCCAATAAAAATAATTATAATAAATATTTTCCTCCTTTTTTATTTTAGTTTCATTATCGAGTAAATTAATCTATGAAGGTTTAAAATTAAAATTTAATTGAGCTAGAAAATCAAAAATTAGAAGAATATTAAATTCTAATATTTAATTTAAATAAAAAATTTTCAAAAAGATCTTTTACATAAAGGCTCTAAATTTTCACTTTAAATATAGTTAAAAATCTTTAATTTAAAATTAACCTCGTTAATATATTCATTTATTTCATTTATCCATAGAGGAAAAACAATTTTTAAAGGATTCTTTTCTTTAATCATTCTCTCAATAAGTTTATGCTTTTTATCAATTATTTCAATTAATTTATTAATATCATCTACCATTTTAATTGACAAAATTTTTTTCATTTCATCATTAAAATTTTCGTAAATTTTGGATTTTAAATTTTGGAATTTAATTATTATGTCATCATAATAGATAATTGCTGCTTTTAAATATAATAATTTGTTCATTTCTTCGTCACTTATTAAATGTTTAATAATTGTTAAATGTAGTTCACTTTCATCTAAAAAATATTTTTGTAAAAAAAATTTGATAATTAATAATTTATTAATTATATTATTAAGATAAAGTTTCCATCCCGGCCCTTCAAATTGGGAAAGATCGAGCAGTTTTGTAAAATTTAACTCATAGACTTCGAGAAAGGACTTTCGATAAAAATAAATTTAAAATATCAATTTTGTCAAAATTTAATATTTAATTTAAATATTAATAAATAATTTACTAGAAACAGAATCGCCATTCCGGCGACACGTTCTTAGAATCTAAAGAAATAATTAATTTAAATTAATTAATCAAAATAATTTTTACCATTTTATCTTTTTTATTTCCATAAAGCCAATTTAATTTATCAATTTCATTTGAATTTAAATCTTAAAAAATTCAGAAGATTACTTTAATAAAATTTAAAATATTTTTTAATCATTTTTAATTGGGGATACATTTCGATAAGCCCAAAAAAGTTTTTATGCAGACTATTTTACTTATGACCATACACTTTTACCATCATTTTGTCCCCTTTCCATAACAATTTATTGAAAGCCTTTCGTCTAAAATTCATGATTTTCAAGGTTGTTAATCCTGAAAGGAGGTCTTTGGGGGGTCTGCTTTTTTGGTTTTTCTTGGTTTGGCCAACCAAAAAAAACTTATAAAAATTTACTTTAAATTGAGACGTGCCTAATGGTGGGTGTATGTAAATTAGGACTTTAATATAAAATTTAAAAAATTTTTATAATTAAATACTTTCAATTTTTTCTTTAAATTCTTCATTAATATCTATTAAATAATTAATTGTTTCTTTATGTAATTCACAAATAAATTTTTTATTTTCTTTTTTATTTAAAATAGGAATAACTTCATTAGGATTATTTAATAATGATAAACTGTCAAATTCCTCTTTCAAAACATTTAATATTTCAATAAATTTAATTTCTATATTTTTAATTAAATTTATTAATTTCCCAAGCATGTTTAATAAAATATTTGCTTCTGCTGGATTATAACTTAAATTCTTAGATGACATTTTATCAACTGATCCCATAATCATTGAACGAACAGCACTCCAATCTGTTGGATTTGATTTTTCTTTAATATTTTTATCTACATATTTTACTTGAATTAATATATTAGCTAATGTTGAACGTTGCTCTAAATTTAAAAAATCTTTTCCTCCAAAAATTAAATAATATGTTGAAATTATCCAATTATCCAATTCTTCATTATCTAAAATAAATATTTAACGTTAAGATTAAAAAGTTGGCCAAAAATTGTCTGTGAATATTTCTTTTAGCCGATTCTTTAGATTAAACCTTTTATTTTGACCATTATTTCATTAGAGTCATATAGTATTTAACTATTTTAGAATTTTTTCTATAAAATCTTTTACTAAATATTAAAATTAACCAATATATAAAAGTGGACTCATTCTTTTCTCCTCTCCATATACTACAACACTACCTTCACGTTTAAATGGAAATAAAATTAAAACATTATATCTAGAACCAGTATGTTTTACAAATAATTGTTTTAATTCCTTATACCCTCCATCATCATTATCATTTTTATTTTCCCATAATTCAATTAATTCATTTTTAATTTCTTCTGAAATTTCTTCTTTTAATTCTAATAAATTTATTCCTTCAATTTTTTGTTTTACAAATTTATCTAAAGCTACTTCCATTCCTTTTCTATCATCAGAATATAAAATCGGAATAAAGGGTTTAAAATTATTATCCCAAATTTTTTTTATTTTTTTCTCATCTCCTTTTAATATTTTTATAAAAATATTTCCAAATAAATGGCTAAACAAAAAAGTTCTCAAAGTTCTTTGGACTTCATTCATCGCTACCGGATATGAAAATAATTTAATAAAACGTTTAGTCTTTTCTTTATTTTCTACCAAATCTATTAAAAATAAAATTTAAAAATAATTTTTAAATTATTTTAAAATACCAATTCTAAATAATAAAGGATCATTTAATTCAAAATTTTCATAAAATAAATTTCCAATAACACTTCTAATTTTATTTTTTAATTCCAAAATTTCTTTTATATTTAATTCTCCATTATTTTTATTTTTATTTAAATTTATTGCCCTTTTAAAAATATCAGGAAGAAATTTTTCTAATCTAAAAAAATAAATATTTTTTTAATTTTAAACATTAAAAAAACTTTTTAAAATGTAATTCTTCCAAAATAAATTGAAATTCTTTTTCAATTAATTTATTTTTAATTTCCTCATTTTCCTCCATTTTATTTAAATTCTTCCTAAATTTTAAAAATTTTTCTTTAACAATTTTTAATTTAAATATAAAATTAATTTCTGTCTCAAAAACTTCAAAAACACTTTCAAACTCAATTAAATCCAAAAATATTTCAAAATTAATTTTTATTTCATTTTCATTTTTTTCTAAAAATTTTTTATATTTTTCCATTTCTAAATTAATTATTTCCAAATTTTTTTTTTCTTCTTCCAAAATATTTTTATTTTTTATTTGATTTTTTGTTTTTAAAATTTTAAATATTTTTTCCAAAATATTTTTATTTAATAAAAATGTTGATATTTCTCTAATTTTATTTTTATTATTTTCAAATAAAAATGCTTGGAAATATTTTTCTTTTAAATTATTTTCGTTTATTCCAGCTTAATTAAAAATATATTTAAAAATTAAATTTAAAAATATACCAAATGAAGAGTTTGTTGGATTAGGTAATTTTAAATCATTTAATTTTACATTTATTGTTGGTTTGAAAAATATAAATATTAATAAATAAAATAACAAATTTGTTGACATTTTATTTAATAAAATTTAAAAAATAATTAATTATTTATTTAAATAATTATTCTTTAATTTAAAAAATTTTTTTAATAATTTTTTGAAAATTATCACTAATTAACTTTAAATAAAATTAATTTATTAAATAATAATTTTAAATGTCTAGTCTGATTTTTTAATATTTAATAAATAAAGCATTGCTATCCATTCCCTTTTAATTTACCTTTATATTGACTTTTTATTTATTTCAAAATAAATTTTATTTTGCACTTTAGTTGCTTAATTATTAATTAAATTCACGTGAATAGCAATAAAATAAATAAATAAAAGTGCATAAATGATGTAAAAATAAATATATATTTTTAATTTATAATTTTGTAATATTTTATTTATTTTTTATAATATAAAGATGAAAATACAAATTGAATTTTTGACAATAATTGGGCAATAATTTTTAATATGAAATAAATTAAATAAAAAAATTAATTTTTTATAAAAAATTTAAATTTTCCATTCTTTTATTATTTATTTGATTCTATTAAATTATTAATTTATTTAACTTCGATTACTTGTTAAATTTTCTCTAAAAATTTTTTGAAAAAATTTTTAAAAATTAAAAAAAAATTTTTTACAGGCAATCCACACCAAAACGAATTTCTAATTGAAAAAATATTTAATTTATTCAACAATTCAATTTTGTCACCAAGAAATATTTTTGATAATTATTTCTACATAATTTCTACATTTGTTTGGATCTTAATTGTTAAAAATATTTGTTTGAAAAGAATGTTACAATAAATTTTACGATTTTTAATTTTTATTTTTTCTTTGTTATTTAAATTTTTTGTCTGAATAAATTATTTAAAATTAAAAAAATTTTCTTTTATAAGGCTTTTTTGTTAAAAAAAAATAAAAGAAATATTATTTTTTATTTATTTTAACATGCAAAAACTGCTTTATTTAAGGCAAATAAAAATCTAAAAAATAATAAATTAATTTTAAATTTAATAAATATTTTTATTTTTAATTTAATTATTACTCAAACCAAAAAATATTTTTTAAATTATATAAATGCCATTTAGAATTAATTTTAAGAATTTTTAAAAATAAAAGTGAAATTTATTAATGATTCAGAAAATATATATTATTTTTGTTTTTGAATGCTGGTAAAGGTGATTCAGAGAAATAAAATTGAATGGCACAAACTTAACTATTTAAAGAAATGGTTGTCAAAAAAATATTTAATCGCTGATTTTTTAAAATAAATTTTCTTACTACACCTCTACCGTTGTATAAGTTAACGATAGTAAACGGTAGTGGGAGTTAATTTATTTTTTTAAATATTAGAATTTTTTAAATATTTTAATTCTTTTAGTATTTTTACTTAAATAAAGATTAATTAAAATTTGAAAAAAATGTTTATTAAATCAACAATTATATATTTAAATTTATTTATCCTTTTAATAAATGCTAATAATGAGGAACAAATAAAATCAGCCTCAGCTGATAGTGAAATTTCTACTAAAGAATTGCTTCCAAAAATTGGTTTAAATTTAATTTTAATATTTAACTAAAAGAGATATTTGAATATTAAAATAAATATTAAAATATTTATATATTAATATATTAATATTCAATCACTAAAATTATACATTATTACTTACTTATATTACAATAACATGTCTTTTTTATATTGTTATGTTGCCATTCTAGTAAAATGTTCAAAAGTTCTATTTCAATAAAATGTGCCATTGTAATATAGTTTTATTTACATATTCAGGACTTTGGGGACTACAACAACAACAACCACCAATTAGTTAGCTGAAAAAAATTAAAAAATTAATTTAAAAAATATTTTGTAAATTTTAGGTGGAGGATTAGGCCTAATTGGAAATGGATTAATTCCTCAACAACAACCTTTCAACCTTCCAAGTCTCCCACCACAACCAAATCCATTTATTAATAACTTTTATCAACCACCTCCATTTAACAATTATTTTCTACGTTCCCCATACTTTATTCCTCCACAAACCAATCCTTTCTATCCATACCAAAATTTTCCTTTATTTAATCCTGGACTTGGCACTATTCCTCAATATCCCTTATATCAACCACAGTTTCCTCTGGGAGGTCCACAGCTGCCTCTGGGAGGTCTTCCTGGAGGTGAGTATTTGGAAATTTTTGGAAAGAATTTAAAAAATTTAACCTGGAAAAATATTCAATAAAATTTTTTAAAAAGAAGATATTTAACGTTTTACAATAATAGTTTAGAAAACAAACATTTTCATAATATACAAATTAATATTCAATTTTAATTCCAGGACTTCCCAATCAACTTAATCCAGCTGGAATTGTTTAAAATATTAGAGGAGAAAATAAATATAATAATTTCAATGATTCAAATGAATTCGCATTATAATTTTAAATAAAATACGATTTTTGAATAAATTTATATTTTTCCGGTTTTTGTGAGACTCGGTTTTTCATTATTCTGAAAAAAACAATTCCGATCGACAACTTGAAGATAATTCCAGATTTTAAAATAATTTATTTTTTAATACTAAATTTTTCAAATTAAGAGTTAAATCATTAATACCGTAAATGCTCTAATTGAAGCACATGTGCTTCTATTTTTCGATCCCCTCGTAGAGTGTGCTTATATTAGAGACTGTGCTTCAAATAGAGACTGTGCCTTTATTTTTCGATCTATTTTTCAAATTTTTATTGAAAATTCTATACTCCACATAAAAGTAGAATTATCGGTAGAATTATCGCTTTCAATTTAATTTTCATTATCCTCATTGATAAACCCACTTGTATGACATCAAGGGATCAAGAAGGATATGGTGGATTGGAGGGATATCGAGGTATATAAGCGGATTTTAAGTGACTAAGTAGGATATCGGTGGATATCGAGTGATTAAGAGGGACTAGGAAGAATATTGTGGATTTGGACGATTGGTAGGAATATCAGGAGAATTATAAATAATTCCTCAGTGGCAATTCTCAAAATATCTCTTCGAAAAATATATTCGATATCCGTCCAAATCCTCGGATTTCATCTGATATCCCTTCCCAAAATCCCCCGCCCCCAATCTCTCGATATCTCCTTGAATCCTTTAGATACTTGTTAATGCCCTAAATTCCCTCTTAATCACTTCTGATCACTCTATATCAATCAATGGGGATCAGTTGAGGTATATAAATGGGGGAATGTAACTTTTTTAAGAAAAATGTAACTTTTTCAGTGTATACTAGGGGGTGTGCCTCTATTAGAGATGTGCTTCAATTAGAGACTGTGCCTTTATTTTTCGATCCTCTCGTAGGTGTGCCTCTATTAGAGACTGTGCTTCAAATAGATACTGTGCTTCTATTAGAGCATTTACGGTAATTTCATTTTGACTCGTCGTACGTACTATTTGTTTAATTTTTTCAGAACTAAATATAGTAAAAAATAAAAAATAAATAAAAAATAAACCCCTAAATATAGTAAATCCTTAATATCTAAATCAAATATAAATCGATCCCTTTATTTTCACAACCATCTACTATATAGCTGTCAATAAAAAAAATAAAAAAAACATTTATTCGGTGAAGGTCATCCATTGTTGTTTGAATTATGTGCGGGATTTTTTTTTGCTTTAATCCATTTCTTTTATTCATTCATATTCACAAAGCTTTATATATAATTTATTTATGGGGTATTTTTTGGGGTATTTTAAAAAAGATTAATTTGTTTAGATTTATTTGATTTAAAAAAATTTATTAATTTATATAAAATTATTAATTATTAATTAAACAAAATTAATTAATTGTATATTTATTAATTTATATAAAAATTTAAATATGATTAAATATATTTTTGCAATTAATCTATTTAATTTTAATAAAATTATTTTAATAATAATTGTGTTTCTACTAGCAGGTTAGTAATTTAAATTAAAAGAATTTTTAGTGCCAAATATTATTTAATTAAGTGATTATTAAAAGGAGTAGTTTGTTAAAATATTTAAAAATAAAGATTTTTAAATTAAATTTAAATTAAAAATTTTAAATTAAAAATCATCAAAAAATTATCAAGCACAGAAATTGAAGTAAAATCACATTATGCGTTATATTTTTTTACTCCAACAATTGAATTGAGCAATTTTTATTACTAATGACCATCTTATGAAAGTTCAAACAATTAACTTGTAGTGAACTGATTAAGTCAGTTCATTGACCAAAAATAAAAATCTTTCCATAAAAATTTTCGCCTTCTTCTTACTTTTTTATTTACTTTTTTGCGCCGCAGGCGAAAATTTCGACGATTTTGTAAAGCCATAAGAGAAAAAATGACATTTTATTCTAAAAATTACAAAATATAAAAAATCCAAGAAATTCGCAATTCCGTATTTTTAAAAATAATCCTCATCAACCTATCAAAAACCACAAAATGAGAAAAAATCCGCGCATATCGGAGCCCTGGTTCATTCAGATCAATAAACCTATACATCTAATTAAAATATTTTTTTAATTTTTTAAAATTATTCTTAAGATTTTATTTCTTCAACCAAAATACCTACGTTAGCTAGCTTAAAACTTGAAGAAGCAAGTGCCAAAGTAGTAGAAGATAAGCCAAAAAAACGAGAAGATTCAATTCCGGTCATCGAAATAAGGGGGGAGGGAAAGCCAATGAGTGCTGCACAAATTAGGTATTCAATAAAAAATTTGTGTGAGGTTTAAACAGATTTTATACATATTAATTTATAAAAAATTTAGAAAAGGAAATCAAAATTTTAATTAAAAATATAGTCAATTATTTTGTAAAATTAAATAGAATATTCAAAAATTAAAATTTTTATAAAAAATATTTGAAGGGAGCTAGAAGAAATGTCTAATGGTGGACCTCTTGATATTAAGGTAATTTAAACAAAATAAATTTAATTTTATAATGAATATTCTAAATAAATTTATTTTATTTTTAAAATCAAAAGGTTTCAAAAACTTGGGTACCTGGAGATTGCCCTAGAAAAGCTCGACGTCTTGATTTTGTCACATTTCATTTCAAAGGCTTTTCTGAGGCTGGAAAAAAATTTGATCAAAGTTATGGGCGTGAAAAAGATGGAATTAAAATACAATTGGGTGTTGGGATGGTAGAAAATTTAAATAAACATTATTAGTTTTAATTTATATATTAAGACAATGCCTGGTTTAGATAAAGGTGTTAAGGGAATGTGTGATGGTGAGCTTCGCAAAATTGAAGTTCCTTGGAGATTAAGCCGCAAAAGGAAGAGTAAAGGTAAATTGGAAATTTTAAATTAGGAATAGTATAAATAGCAATATAAAAAGTTATAATAATTTTAAGAAAAGCCTCGCTGTTTTTTAGAGATCGGCCTGGATCTGGACCAAGGCCAAAGTTTTTTCTGTACCCAGAGTCTAGGCCCAGGCATTTTTTGACCTTCCTGGGTTTTTCCTGGGCCTGGGTTTTTCCTGGACTACAGGCCTATGATCTAGCCCAGGTCAATAAATCAAGCCCAGGAGCAGGCCCAGGCTTTTCAAATTACCGATCTCTACTGTCTAATTAAATATCTAATTTATCTGTTGTATGTATTTATTATAGGAGTTGATCTAAACAGGTGTACATTTTTTCAAAAAAACAATATAGAGTGCCCTTTTAATCGAACAAAGAACCCTTAAATCTCAGTCTCTCCAAAACTAATAAATATTAAAATTAGTTTGGAGGTTCATACCAAATGATGAACATTGGCTTCGTTTTGATGTTGAGGCAATAAAAATAGAGCCGTGGACGATAGAAGGGCAATTTGAATGGATGGATTTAAATAATGATAGTAGACTTACGGAAGACGAATTAACTCGTTTTGGATATAAAATGTTGAAAGAATTTGGAAAAGCATGGCCAAATGAAGATATTGACCCTGTACATGCTTCCAAATATTATATAAAGTATATTTAATTATTTCTGTCAAAAATAATTTATTCAAAATATTTATGAAATATCTAATTTTTTAAAGATATTTTGATGCAAATAATGATGGAATTATTGATATATCTGAATTTAAATATATTTTTGAAAGAGATTTGTCTATAATGGAAAGTAAAAGAAAAAATAAAAATAAAATTGAGGGAAGAAAAAGAGATCCGGGACTTCAATGGATTTTGGATTTTAATAATGATGGAATTGTTTCTGTTCAAGAAATGGATAATGCTGATAAAATTTTGGAAGGAAATCCGGCAATTTTGCCCGGAGAGAAAATAAAAGAAGAATTATAAATTAAAAAATTAATTGTTTAATAATTAAATTGTTAAATTATTTATTTTAATTAGAGAATGGAAATCTTTTTTTTAGAATTTTGTTTCTTTTTTAAATGAAAAAGAATAAAATAAAAATTAAAAAAATTATTTTGCCAAAAAAATTTTATATTTTCCCACAATTCCTAACAATGTATTTGCTCGCCGTGACCTTAGTCCTCCTGAGCTACAATTTTTGTATCAATTACGTAGGCATGCCTACTCACTAAATAATTCGTGTGGTCTTTATAAATATGTTATATCTGATTTGCATATCAGAGAACTTAAAAATCCCCGTCCCCTAAAGAACAAAACTACACAATAGGGACTCGCGAACACCAGAGGTAAAAAAATAATTAAAAATGAACTTAGTGGAATATTGATTAATGCACGCTCAATGATTAATAAAATCAACGAATTGAAACTCATTCTAGATAAAAATAAAATAGGCATAGCTTGTATTACCGAGACCTGGCTCAATAAAAACAATACTATATATAAAGATTTCTGCTTCAATAATCAATTTCAACCCTTATTTGCTAATCGCGAAAAACGCAAGGGAGGAGGCTGCGCTATCTTATTAAGTAATGATTTAACATTTAGGTGTATTTTCCAAGGTAGCAAATTTCAATGTGAACTTATCTGTATTAAATTACTCACAGTCCAACCGATTTTAATTATTTGTATATATAGGCCACCTGATTGTACAGCTAAAAATACAAAAAAAATATTAAAATACATCTACAATTTATTGAGCAATACTAAGAGATATATTATTCTGGGAGATTTTAATAGCCCTAATGTTGATTGGAATAAGTTAACTGCTTCTGATATGATTGGAAAGGTCTTACTCGAATTTATTAACCAAACTAATACAATACAGAAAGTTAATAAGCCCACAAGAGAGAAAGCTATACTTGATTTAGTTTTATCATTCCCTGATAACTTAGTTAGCACCAACGTTATTGAGAATTTTTCTACATCAGATCATAATATGGTTAAGTTCAAAGTATGTATAAATGAAAGATGCAAGAGAATAAAACAAAGTAAAGTTTTAGTAAGAAATATTAATAAGAAAAATCTGAACGAATGTAGTAAAAACCTGTCTAGTATAAAATGGGATTATATATTACCCTACTACTTTAGTATTGAAGAAAAATATTCTAAATTAACAATATGCCTACTAAGAGTTTTTGATAAAGTTATGCCACTAAGACCTATTAACAAAATAATCAAAGAAAAGTATTCTAGAGATATTAAAGACCTTTATAATAGAAAACTTTTAACTTACAATGAATTAAAGAAAACCCCATCTAATATGGATATTAAATTGAAATATAAAATAATTTCAAAACAATTAAAAACAAAAATTCAATCACATCATCTTAAGAAAGAGCAAAATGCCATATCGAAAGGCTATAATTCAATTCATAAGTTTATCAAGAATAAAATAGGTGAAAATGGTTATATAACATTTCTTACAGATTCTAATGATAAAATATACAAAGATAACTTAGAAAAGTCCAATATACTAGCTAAGACATTCCTAACTAATTTTAGCCACAAGGATTTGCAAGATGAAGTTATAACTGAAAACAATGAACACTCAATACATGATCTAGACTTAGATGTAATTCAGATTAGAGACCTATTAAGGAAACTTCCTAACAAAAATTCTACATCCCCGGATGGAATTCCTTATATATTACTAAAGCACTCAGCTGACGAATTAGCCCCTGTACTAACTGAAATATTCAGAATAATATTAGATAGTGGAAATATTCCGAGAATATGGAGAACATCTATAATTATACCTATCCACAAAAAAGGTGACAAATCAGATCCTAATAACTATAGACCTATATCTCTAACATGCACACTTTGTAGAGTACTAGAGAGACTTATTAGTATCGAAATAATAAAATTTTTGAATAAAAAATCTTATTTCTCGGATGACCAATATGCATTTCTAACTAACAGATCAACTTCTACTCAATTATTAGTAATGTTAAATGATTTCTACAATGCTATTCAGGAAAATAAATCTATTGATATTGTCTATATTGACTTCGCTAGAGCATTTGATTCAGTACCTATTAACAGAATACTTTATAAATTGAAATCAATCGGTATAGCTGGGAAGATATATACATTTATTAAGAATTTCCTAGAAAACAGGACCTTTAGAGTTAAAATTGAGAATACCCTCTCTGATAGCTATCCAACCTTATCTGGTGTACCACAAGGAAGTGTCCTTGGACCACTACTTTTTCTAATATTTATTAATGATTTAACAAAATATTTACCTGAAGGTATACATATAAAAATTTATGCCGATGACGTGAAACTATATATTGATCATAACAATGATTTAAGAACCGAAGTTCTATCTGAAGCTCTATCATGTATTGAACACTGGTCTTCTCTTAATGGTTTAGATATTTCACTAGAAAAATGTGTTGTTCTCTACATAGGAAAAAATAATCATAAAAGAACATATAAGTTACTAGGAAAACAAATGAGTGAAGTAGATAGTGTTCGGGATCTTGGTATTATAATTGATTCTAGTTTATCATTTTCCAAGCATTATGAAAAAATTATCAAAAATGCTTATTTCCTCACACACCAGATATTTAGAGTAATTAAAACTAAAGATATAAATAAACTTGTATTTTGCTACAAAACATATGTAAGGCCCTGTCTAGAATACGCAACCGAAGTATGGAATCCATCTAAAGCGGAAACCTCCCACCAAATAGAGAGAGTCCAGAAATTCTTTACACGAATTGCCCTTAAAATTTGCTCAATTACACCTAGGAACTATGAAGAAAGATTAAAATTATGTAAGCTTAAGAAGCTAACTGAGCGACGCTGTATTTCAGACTTATGTATGACATATAAATTTATAACCGGACATACCCATCTAAAACCAGATAAATTTTTTATATTTGCGAAAAGAAATTTACGCAGGAAATATCTAATTCAAAATAAGGGCTACTCATTTAAGACAAAAAATAATTTCTTCATTAGAGTCATTAACATTTGGAATAAATTACCTAAAGAAGTCATTGAGTGTGCAAATCCCAAAAAATTTAGAGTATTAGCTAATTGTGTAGATTTTGGTCTTTAAGGGTTTTTAACATTATTTTTCATTAAATATAATCACATATATTTTTTTTAAATCACATATATTTTTTTTTCATCCACATTTATTTTTTTTCAAATATCATTTATTTTTTTTAAAGTTTTTATAACTTTCCAACGCATTTATTTGTATTGTTTTTTTTTATCCATTGTAAGTGTACATGCTTGTATGTACCTTTTGGTGTTCGTTATAAATAAATAAATAAATAAATAAATATATCTGAATTTAAATATATTTTTGAAAGAGATTTGTCTATAATGGAAAGTAAAAGAAAAAATAAAAATAAAATTGAGGGAAGAAAAAGAGATCCGGGACTTCAATGGATTTTGGATTTTAATAATGATGGAATTGTTTCTGTTCAAGAAATGGATAATGCTGATAAAATTTTGGAAGGAAATCCGGCAATTTTGCCCGGAGAGAAAATAAAAGAAGAATTATAAATTAAAAAATTAATTGTTTAATAATTAAATTGTTAAATTATTTATTTTAATTAGAGAATGGAAATCTTTTTTTTAGAATTTTGTTTCTTTTTTAAATGAAAAAGAATAAAATAAAAATTAAAAAAATTATTTTGCCAAAAAAATTTTATATTTTATTAAAAAATATTAGTTTAAAAATATAAACTTTAATTTATTCACCAACAATTTAAAATTAATACTCTTAATTTTTTTCATTTTCTTATCAAAATAATTTTTAAGTAACAATTCATAAAAAAATAAAATAAATGATAATTTATTGAGTTTTTTCAATAATTTTATTTTAATTTAATACTAAAATTAATACTAAAAAATTTTTTTATTTTATTTAAAATTAACAATTAGAATTATTAAATTTAATTAATTAATTAATTAAAATAAAATATAGAAAAATATTATTTTTATAATTTATTATTAATCAAAAAGAAAGTGTTTTTCTTCTTTTTTAAATAAATTCTCGAATTTATTTTTCCCTTTCCTTTTTTAAAAAAAGTATTGATGATATTATCGTTGTCATTTTTATTGTTAACTGAAGTGAACGACAAAAATTTTACGTTTTAATCATAAAAATACAATTTTAGAAAAAAAAGAGAAATTTTACATTTAAAACTAAATAAATATTTTTTTTTAATTTTAATCCTATTTTTTATTAATAATTTAAAATAATTTTCGTGAATATATCAACCTTTAAATAATGTTAATTAACAAATTTAAATTTATTTTATCCATTTTTGTCTTCCTTTTAAAAATTTCAAAACAAAATTTTTTAAATAATTCCTTGTGGAATATTGGAGTAGAAAAACAATTAAAAATGAATTATTTTACTGGAAATGAGAATGAAAATATTGGTGTTGTTAATTGTAAACATTTTTGTTCAATTAGTAATCCTAATTCTTTATCATGTTGGTAGGTATGTTTTTAAATAAAAAATATATTTAATTTGAATTGCCGTATATGATCGAATAATTACCCCCTCACAACTATTTACCCTCCCTAATACATATTACCTCTATTTTTCATAAACAAATTATATAAATATTTTTTTATATCACTAAAAATTTTAATAATGAAACATTTTAGGGTAGATATAAAATAAATCGTAAGATTAAAAGGATTTTGGGAAAATATTGAGGGATTTGTGTGTCCTCATTTTACAATTCTTCATATTTAATTATAAATTTACAAGAGGAAAAATATTTTATTTTTTGGTTTCAGGAATGAAACTTTGCAATTTTATGAGAGTATGTTAATTAATATTCTTAGGCAAACAGTTATTGTTGAGGTGTTTATATATTTTTGTAAAGCAGAATAAATTTAAAATTAATTAGATAAACAGAGTTTTGTGGATTCATTCCAACCAAAATGAAAAAATAAAAAATTCTGAATTTTTTGGAACGACTGTTGAGAAGTTGGCAAATGATTCTTTATCAAGATTTATGAAATTGCCAAATAAATCCTCTGTTAAAGATGGGAATAATTGGGTAAGAATTGGGGGTGAACCAAAAAAGATTGATAAATTAAAAATAATATTTTAGAAAAATTCCGAAAATGTATTTGCCCGTATATCTCCAGCAATAGCTAAAAATGTCTTTCATCATGTAAGACACATTAGACTATACAATTACGGATTAGAACTTCCATTACTTGATTTTAATTGTCCACAAGGATGTGAAAAGTTTGAAAATATTATTTATATATAATTTAATAAATTAATTAGAGAATTATTTATTTTTGTAAAATAATTTAGAAATTTAATATTCAATTTTTAATTTAAATAAATCTAAAATTTAATATTTTTTTAAATAATTTTAAAATAAATCTTTAATATCTTAAGTCAATATCATCCAAAAATATTTTAGTATAATTCTATTTTAATTTTTAACTCCCCCTGTTCTAAATAACATTACAAATATTTCTTCTATTTTATGTAGCTAGAAGTTTTGTAAATCAGTTAATTTTACATAAAAGTTTTATATTAATTATTTATTTTTATTCATTTTAGAGAATGGGATATTTGGAAATGGCTATTTTTTGTTTCACTACTAATTACCTTTCTTTTTCTTGTATTACTTTCAATATTTGTTGTAATTTTGGATATTCGTGAAAGATCTTTATTGGTATTAGAATCTGAAGGGCCAATAGAAAATATTAGAATGGTCAGAATAGAAGACGGGAGGGCAATTTTAGATGAAAAAGATTTAAAGAAAAATAAATTTAGAATGCTTGTTGATATTAATTAATTTTAATTAATAGACTATAACCCTGTCCTGAAACTTTTTCAAATTTTTCAATTTATATGTAGTCTACGTTTTCGGGATAATTCTGAAAGTATCGTTCTGGAACAGGTCGGGGTACAGCTCAATTTATAACTAGTCAATTAATCAAAATTGTTAGTTAAATATAGGTATTTATAAATTAAAATAATTCTGATTATTTTTATAATTTAAACACTTTATTAATTTCTAAAAAAAAGAATTCAATATTCTATTGCAATTTTTAAAAATTAGACAAACAAATCCACGTGGATGACATAAAATTATATATTATAGAATTGATTAAGAATAACTTTGGTATGTCATTCACAAACTTATTTAAAGAAATTTTATTTAAAAAAACAAATATATGTTTTAATATAAAATTAACGTATTTCCTCTGATCCAAAAAATACCTTTATTTCACGCATATTTAGTTGTGAATAAAGGTATGTATATTTCAAAAATTTAACGGTTTTAATATTTAATTTACCTACTTATTTAAAAATAAATTTTAGACTAAATTTTGGTTTCCTTAATTTTTATTAAATAATTTGTTTAGAAATAAAATGAATATAATATTTAATTTAATTAATTTTTTTATTTTATTTTATATTTTTAATTCAATTTTATCAACAAATTTATTAGAAGATGGAGTACATAATATTGATATTATACAAAATGGAGACCCTTTGTTTGTTTTTATCTTTCTGTTAATTTCTCAAATATCTGTAATTTGTTTCCTAGGTTCTTCCTTATTTTTCTGTTTCTTATTTAAGAAGAATTACTCCTCTTTGTAGTAAATTTTTTGAATGTTTTTTTGAAAATCCTCAATAACCAATTGTTCACTCAAAATATTAATTACCTATACATAGACGCCTTTGTAACCCTTATTCTCGATTACCGGATTTCAAAAAAAATACCCTTTTACCTCTAATTTTATAAAACTCAGTAAAGAAATTCTTTTGCATGGAAGTCAAAAATTATTAGACCAATTGGATGCCAGAAGCCAACAAATAATTGATGGAATTCTTTATAATGGAAAAAAATTTATTCACGATGTTTACAACTATAGGGATATGATTTATGTTTCAATGATTACTTTAGGTAGATAAAAATAAAATTTTTATTATTTAAAATATTAATAGAGGATTTTACAAAAAATATTACTTTCTTGGTGCCGAAAACTATTGAAAATTCTTTAAAAATGAGGAAATTCCTCTTAGATGAGATTAACAATTTAAATATTTTTCTAAAACTATTTAACAAATAAAGGTACACCAGGACAAGAATTTCGAGTATCAATGGATACTGCAAGTTCAAATCTTTGGGTTGTAGATAAAACATGTAACTTTAGACAGAAATGTAATGATAAATGTAAAAATAAAGGTAATTGAATTTTTGTAATTTAAAACAAAAATTAAACAAAAATAAAACAACAAAATAAGATAAACACATTTTTGTTATAAAATAAATTTAAAACAAAAATTTATTTTAAATAATTAAGAATATTGCAATAAAAATTGTGATGTTTATTGTTGTGGAAAAAATTCAAATATTTCTTCTTGTGCGGGAAAATAAAATTTAATTCGAGTAAATCAACAACTTATAAAAGTAATGGCCGTCCTTTTAGTATAATTTATGGACAAGGATTTGCTGATGGATTTTTGGGAAGTGATAGATTAAAAGTTGGTATTTAATTGAATAAATATTTTAACTAGGTTTTAATAATATAAGTATAATGTTTTCTGAGGGTTAGTGTCATTTTGGCATGTCTATATTTGGATTTTCAACGGAAATTTAGTTTTACTTTAACATTTTTTAATCAAAATAAATAAATTTAAAATTTATTTGTTTTTTAAAAGTTTGGTTGTATTGATGAAAACAATACATTAACAATTCCAAATATTGTTTTTGGTCAAGCAACAACCTCGGTTCGACTTTTTGGTGCCACACCCGGTGGGGTACCTTTTGAAAAGTCAGAATGAAAATATTGTCCGGTCATGTTGTACAGCATCTAAAACTGCACTGAAATGTAAAATTTGGGTGGGGTCCACTTGAGTCTCAAAAAGTTATGCCTAATGTGCGCAAATGTCGCAAAACTTTTTGAGACTCTAACGTCTCGGGGAATTTGTGAAAAATTTTTCTGGCAAGAGATTCGGAATCAGCGCATCTAAATGCACCATATAGGTCGATTTTTGAGAAAAATTTCGAAAATTTTTTTCCCGACTCCATTCCTAAAGGGGTACCCCTTTTGGGCGATTTTCGCGATTTTTGAAATCGACCTAACTTTTTGTCGGATTTTCTGATTTAGATGCGGTTTCTTTCTGAAAATAGAACTAAAAATTAGGTAATTTATCACCGAAGAAAATTTCCAAAAATGTCGAAATTGAACCCGTAGGGGTCGAATTTCGAAAAACCCAAAAATTTTCGGTTTTTCGAAAAAATTTTCGTATTTTCGTCGCAGGTTCGGGCCGAAAGTATTTTTATTGGATAGAGCTTATTTGTCTCCATAGAATAAGCTTTTAAAATTTTCCAAAAAGGTCAACTTTGGAAAAATTATGAATTTTTGAAAATTTGGTCGATTTTTTCGGCCAAAAGTTTCGACTACAAAATATTTTTTTCCAAAATTGATATAAATAGGCCAAATGTTATATCAATCGAAAGCTCTCGTCGAGCTGAGTATAAAAATATTTTTGCAAAATTTTCTGACCATTTTGTACAAAGTTACAAAAGTTCGAAATTTTGGGTGTGGGTGGTTTGGGGTCCGAATGCCCCCAAACGGCAGGCCGTAGGCCTGCCGAGCGAGGGCCGAAGGCCCGAGTTTCAAACCATCTAAAAGGCAGAGTAAAGTTACACCGAGGCCGAAGGCCGAGGGGTTGGCGAGGGCCGAAGGCCCGAGCTTTCAACCCATCTAAAAGGCAGAGCAATGGTCCATCGAGGCCGAGGAGTTGGCGAGGGCCGAAGGCCCGAGCTTTCAACCCATCTAAAAGGCAGAGCAAGAGTCAAAGGCATGGCAAACTTTACCTGCGAGGGCCGAAGGCCCGAGTTTTCAATTCATCTAAAAGGCAGAGCAAAAGTCAAAGGCATGGCAAACTTTACCTGCGCGGGCCGAAGGCCCGAGCTTTCAACCCATCTAAAAGGCAGAGCAATGGTCCAACGAGGCCGAAGGCCGAGGAGTTGGCGAGGGCCGAAGGCCCGAGCTTTCAACCCATCTAAAAGGCAGAGCAACGAATTAAAAAGCAGGGCTAAACTTTACCTGCGAGGGCCGAAGGCCCGAGTTTTCAACCCATCTAAATGACAGAGCAACGAATTAAAAAGCAGGGCTAAACTTTGCCAGCGAGGGCCGAAGGCCCGAGCTTTCAACCCATCTAAAAGGCAGAGCAACGAATTAAAAAGCAGGGCTAAACTTTACCTGCGAGGGCCGAAGGCCCGAGTTTTCAACCCATCTAAATGACAGAGCAACGAATTAAAAAGCAGGGCTAAACTTTGCCAGCGAGGGCCGAAGGCCCGAGCTTTCAACCCATCTAAATGGCAGAGCAACGAATTAAAAAGCAGGGCTAAACTTTGCCGGCGAGGGCCGAAGGCCCGAGCTTTCAACCCATCTAAATGGCAGAGCAACGAATTAAAAAGCAGGGCTAAACTTTGCCAGCGAGGGCCGAAGGCCCGAGCTTTCAACCCATCTAAATGGCAGAGCAACGAATTAAAAAGCAGGGCTAAACTTTGCCGGCGAGGGCCGAAGGCCCGAGCTTTCAACCCATCTAAATGGCAGAGCAACGAATTAAAAAGCAGGGCTAAACTTTGCCAGCGAGGGCCGAAGGCCCGAGCTTTCAACCCATCTAAATGGCAGAGCAACGAATTAAAAAGCAGGGCTAAACTTTGCCGGCGAGGGCCGAAGGCCCGAGCTTTCAACCCATCTAAATGGCAGAGCAACGAATTAAAAAGCAGGGCTAAACTTTGCCGGCGAGGGCCGAAGGCCCGAGCTTTCAACCCATCTAAATGGCAGAGCAACGAATTAAAAAGCAGGGCTAAACTTTGCCGGCGAGGGCCGAAGGCCCGAGCTTTCAACCCATCTAAATGGCAGAGCAACGAATTCAAAAGCAGGGCTAAACTTTGCCAGCGAGGGCCGAAGGCCCGAGCTTTCAACCCATCTAAAAGGCAGAGCAACGAATTAAAAGGCTGGGCAAACTTTACAGGCGAGGGCCGAAGGCCCGAAGCAATGAAAAGGCAGGCTAAACTTTGCCGGCGAGGGCCGAAGGCCCGAAGCAATGAAAAGGCAGGCCGAAACTTTACCGGCGAGGGCCGAAGGCCCGAGCTTTCAACCCATCTAAATGGCAGAGCAACGAATTAAAAAGCAGGGCTAAACTTTGCCGGCGAGGGCCGAAGGCCCGAGCTTTCAACCCATCTAAATGGCAGAGCAACGAATTAAAAAGCAGGGCTAAACCGGCGAGGGCCGAAGGCCCGAAGCAATGAAAAGGCAGGCTAAACTTTGCCGGCGAGGGCCGAAGGCCCGAGCTTTCAACCCATCTAAATGGCAGAGCAACGAATTAAAAAGCAGGGCTAAACTTTGCCGGCGAGGGCCGAAGGCCCGAGCTTTCAACCCATCTAAATGGCAGAGCAACGAATTAAAAAGCAGGGCTAAACTTTGCCAGCGAGGGCCGAAGGCCCGAGCTTTCAACCCATCTAAATGGCAGAGCAACGAATTAAAAAGCAGGGCTAAACTTTGCCGGCGAGGGCCGAAGGCCCGAGCTTTCAACCCATCTAAATGGCAGAGCAACGAATTAAAAAGCAGGGCTAAACTTTGCCGGCGAGGGCCGAAGGCCCGAGCTTTCAACCCATCTAAATGGCAGAGCAACGAATTAAAAAGCAGGGCTAAACTTTGCCGGCGAGGGCCGAAGGCCCGAGCTTTCAACCCATCTAAATGGCAGAGCAACGAATTAAAAAGCAGGGCTAAACTTTGCCGGCGAGGGCCGAAGGCCCGAGCTTTC